TTGGACTTTCCAGCTCTCACAGTTGCATGAGAGAGGAAGACCCTGAATGAGATGGACTGATTCAGTGACTGGGATAATGGGGTAGGTGTATCAGAGACAATAAGGTTGGCACAGAATAGAGCAGGGTTTAGGGAGGTTGCACATAGGGTTGCTATGAGTTCTAGTGACTCAATGGCACTTAACAATAATTGCATGTATCAATTTCTGGAAACAAGTTTCTCCCCTCTACACACATGCATGTCTCACTGGTTGTTCTCTAAAGAACTCTAAGACAACCATACAGATTCTATTGTTTTCCTGTTTCCTTTCTCTAAAGCAATGCTGTGTTTTCCCCACTCCTTTTGCCTTCTCGGTCTTCCCTTTCTTGAGCCTCCTAATCTTGTTATTAAGGTCCACTTAGAGGCTGCCCCTGCAGCACAGACGTAGATCCACAGCAACTGGTACTCATCCTAGAGGAGTGGTCATCCCACGCCGGTTCTGCTAGAAACAGCCTCGGCTTCGGTTTAGAGAACACCATCATGTGTTGACAAGCTCTCAAAGCAATTCCTTATTTAAAAAAAAATAACAACACAAACAGCTCAAAATAAAAAGCACTGACTCATTCATATCAAACTGTATTTTTGAGAGGAAAGATGTCAGCAGACATAAATGGGTAATGATGGAATCCCACGACACCAAAATGAATCAAACTTGACACTTTTAGAGGTTGACACTCCGAGCTCAAACAGTTACAGGCCAGGATTTTGGCCTCTCCTTCCTTTTTTGTCTGTTTATGTCGTGGTAAGAAGAGGAAAGAATCTTTCTAGTCACCAGCCAGGCAGGCTTCTCCCGCCACAGAAAAATTAAGAGTCCAGCCCTGGCTCGGAGGTCAGTGAGTTATATTAGGCATCATATCCTGTCCTTTCATAGTCTAGACAATGTATTTGTAGCTCTGGCTTATCTCAGAGGTTATAGATCTCAGGGACTAGAGAGCATTGAGTCCTTACATGGCTGGGCTCCCTGACTAAACTTTAAAACTTTTTCCATTGAAATTAGCAAGCATAATTTGGCACCCACTTGTAAAGGGATGCTAATAAAGACTTTATGGTTGAAGGCCAGATCCAGAAATGCATTAAGTTCTTACACTTTAGGAAGGGCAGATTGAAGCTGAAAGTGGGATGTACACACTCCCTATTTTTCACATCTTGGGGTCTGCAAGTGGCTCTCAGTACACAAAGTTATGGCACTCTATGGGACAGTTATCTCTGGCAAGACCACGCAAAAGGAGGCAAAACATGTCCTGGCAATGCCAACTCATCAGAGAGAGAGAGGGGGACTTATCCTTAACTTTCAAAGAGCAAGAGACAGAGAGGTTGCCTGGAACAATCATTGCTGCCTATCCAGCTTCTGTGTTGATGACATCAGATAAAAGATGCAAAAGAATGAATTAAAAATAGATGAGAGTGAGTTTCCCCATGATTCACCAAAGTAGTAGGAGCATTCTATTAGTATTCTATTAGTCAGAAAACTTCGAGCCAATTATCAGCTGCTACCTACAATTTAACATTTAACTTTTAATTACGCCTGCTTAGGAATTAAGCAGAACAGAAAGTGTTTCAACACAACCAGCTGCTACGGATCCAAAGTGTTTCATAGCTGAAATTTTTATTTAACCTTTTGTTGTCGATGTTGGTCATACAATGCACCCTATTCTTAACACATTAAAAGTCATGTAATCAAAAACATTGATGAGGTCAGCCAGTCAATCCCTCTTCCCCAAACCCCCTTCACACAGCTAGGAACAAAGCATGCCACAACAGGCATGTGTCAATTTCCCCTGGAAGAAGATCCTGGCTAGAATATAGCCTCTTTCATGGTGCCCCATGGGGCTGAAGAACAATCCTTATCTGATAGTAGGATTATGGATGTGTTTTTCCTTTGTTACCAGTGTAACTGTCTGATATTGGACCAGAAGGAAAGTGGCTGCACATAACTTTCACCCGATAATCTCTCTCAAAAAGAAAAATCTGAGGTTAACTGTGTGGTCAATTTACATGGTGGGGAAACAGCCATCATCATTTGATCAGTGAACATCAAAATCTGTTCTTCACAGCATCTTGGAGATATGGGCTTGCCCCATCTGAAGCTTGCATTCTACTAAGAAGGGAACCATGATAGTATGGGATTAATAAAAAGAAAAATGGCAGTGAGGATAAAAGGCAGAATGAACTCGAAAATGACAATTAGGTATTATCTGGATAATCCAATTCCCCATACTGAAAGAAATCATTATAGGAACAAAATAAACAAAATTCCTCACCCAAATCTTTCTCTTTATCGATAATCATTTTGGAAACCCTATCCATTTAAAAACCAGTTAAGTCAACCAACTTGACCTCTGTAACTAAAATGACTGAGAGCAAAAATGGCAAAAGAACAGCTTAGTAACTACGAATAAGACACAGCCTAACACTCCAAGTTACTTGGACCCAATTCAGTCACTCACGGCCATGGTTGGGTGGATTCAAGAGAAAATTCAACAGTGGCTGCAAAAGGCGGGGCCCAGGGTGATAGCTACTAAAAACTACAGTTCCTCCTTAAATATAAAGCCTGTCCATAGCTTCCTTAAATCCGTTCGTACAACCACCAGTTTAAAGCTGCCCATCCTCCCCACACTTGAACTGGCCCACAGCAGCCAGCCATGCCAACTTGAATGACTACACTCTGCGTCACTCGCTACATTGCCAAATTTAGGCATAAACACATCCATTCACCTTCCCAGGCCTCTCGCATTTGTCTGCTATGTCAGAGGTGGTCTACGTCCTTTCACACAGGCCACGCTTAGTAACCTCACAAAAGCAGGGGCTGTGCCAACCTCAGCCACAGGCTAGGTCTTTCCCGGATCCAGGCTCAGTGAGGGCTGAACAAGGCCTCTCTCTAAAAACACACCCACATTTGGTGCAGCCAGGATGTTTGGGGTAGCAATCCTTTTAGCAGTTTGCTTATAAGAGCAGGCCTTCCCTACAGATAGCAACTGGCAGAGCCAGCTCAGCATATGCTCTGCCTAGATAATGCAGGAGCTCAACTTCTCCAACAAGTGAGAGCAAGTCAGCAGGAGTCAGAGAGATCGGAAGGATTTTTAACTACAGTGCATTCTGCAAACTAGGGGTAAATGAGATGATTAAGGTTTTGAATGGGGCAGTTTCTCAGTCACTAAAGTCCCAGTGGTGCCCCCTCCACATGAAAGGGCCTTAGGCCACAGTGTGGGGTCTTCCCTGCCATCTGACCCTGGCACTGGGAAGGCCACACTCGCTCTTGAACCCTTACAATGCTTGGGTAACTAATACTCAGTCACATTTTCCATAGCCTGCACTGTGCCAAACAAAATATTAAAAAAACCCAAAACATCAAATAACATGGCTGCGGCACTTTCCGTCTCTTTCCTTGTTACCATGTGGCTGAAAGAGCAATGAAAAACCCTCCTGACGTGGTGGAGCCCTCAGAAACTAAAGGAACGAAGATGGGATGGTCCACTCTGACAACCAGGTTTAAGAGAAAAATCTGGACACATTCTTATTTTAAAAGGAAACTAGCCCAGTGAAGCCTTCTCCACCCTTCTAGAACATCTGGTCCGCAAACAGTTTTACATTACATTTCCACAGAAAAGGCAGTTAAAGTGAATGATGGTAAAGGTGAAATGTGATGGGAAATGAGGGCTTCTGGATTTTCACATAAAAGCTCTACCACTTTTTGTCTTATAAATGCAACTCATGCAGAACCTTAGGCTTAAACTGAGAGCAGAGGCACTGTGACACACTGGGGTTTCAGAGAGCTGGAAGGAGGAGGCAGTGCAGTCAAGTACCTGGCTGCGACGTTTAAAAGGAAGACACAACAAAACTAAATAAACTCACTGCCACCCAAGCCAGTTCTGACTCAGTGACCTTCCATCTGGTTTCTAAGGCTGAAAACCTTAACGGAAGGAGATTACCCATCTTTCTCTTACAGAGAAGCTGGTGGGTTCTGTCCCCACTGGCCTCTTGGTTGGGTGTTAGCCCAACACATGTGTGACGTCACCTGGGTTCCTACAAAGAGTCCCTCAAAGCACATTCATGCAGGCTACTCCGTGCAGTACCAGGACGTCAGGGAGCTGCCCTTTTCATTTGAGTCAACCTTTGACATGCTGGATCCGTTAGAGGCAAAGAAGCAGCTTTATCTTTGAAGATGTGGGAGGAGGATGAGAAAGAGAAAAATGAGGCAATTGATTGAAAAACTGGAGCTGTGAAAGGAAGCCCCTCAACGAGAGGGACTGACTGACACAGTGACCACAATGGGCTTGAGCATGACAGAGGTCATGAAGATGGTGCAGGACAAGGCAAGGTTAATAAGATCTATGGGGCAGTCATCGTTGACTCAATGGTACATAACAGTCACTGTTTAAACGGTAAAAGGTCTATTAGGAAGCAGGAGTGGCATCCACTTGCTAAACAACATGCCTCTGAAACTCTATGAACTTTGATAAATGTAGATAGTTGTAGAGGAGCTTCAGGCCTTTTGATCATAGGGTCACTATGAGTCATGCTCGACTTGAAGTCAATTAACAACAACAACAAGAGGTCTATAAAATTATTTGCAAACTGGGAAAACAAAGCAGAGGAAAAATAGTAACAATAATAACTTTTAAAACCATAAACCCCCTGCACCAGAATTGCAGGGCAGAGGGACGGAGAGCAATGTTATCAATTGTCCAGGAGATGGTATCCTGAGGCTTCCTCCCGTGAAGTCAGCACTGAGCCCTGTCACCTAGAACGAGCCCAAACAATGACCTGCTGGGCCAAGAGATCGAGCCTCCTCTCACAGCTCATAGGACAACCCCCCACCTGAAGAAGAGGCACTGGGGGAGGATAAAAACTCAGAGAGGTCAGGACGCGGGTATTGGTAAAACATCGAACTAGAGAGAAAGAGCTTTAAACCGAAAGAATAATATAGTGCCTGAAGTACCTTTGAAGAGAAGAAAAAAGATACACTGACCTATAAAAAGCCATTTAATTTATTTTCCAGGATGGCCAATACAAGCTGGTTAGATAATTAGCCCTTGAAGGGGTTATACAATCATATAAAAATGCTTTGCCTCTTAAAAAAAAAAGTCTTGCTAACAAAACGTAGCCACCTATTGAGGCATGTTATCTTTTCTTCCCCCTTTTACATCTGCAGATCCACAAGGTATTTAAAAATACGCAAATATGCATTTCTGAGCACACTGCTATCCGTTAGCTAATCAGTTTTGGCAACACACTGCGCAGAGGTATACTGCTACTGTTTTCGGGTATTAAGTTAGCTTTCAGCTTATTGACTAGTCCAACCACAGGAGGTAGTTTGGAACCCAGTCCCTGGAAAGCATTTGCAGGATTTACTACCCGCTTCCCTAACAACTTTTCTGTGGTAAAAGGTCTGGGCCCAGATTTGCTAATCCATGGGTGTCTTAACGCTTGGGCGGGGGTCAGGCGGGCAGAGGGGTCCCAATGAAGACACTTTTTCAAAAACTCTATGAACAAGTAGTCATCACACCCTTTCAGGGCTGTCACCCAGTCTTTGCTGCCTGGGGGGCCCCGCTTTTTGCCCCTTCGGGAGCGCCCCCCCAGCAGCACAGCCCTCCCATCAGCCTGAATAGTCACAGAGCAGTAGCGAGGTAGGCCCTTGGAGTTAATAAAGTACTTGGCACGTTTCGATTGCTCCAGAAGCTTTGGTGGAGGCATCCCTAGAAGCTCCATCATGCAGGCCAACTGGTCTCCTTCATCCTCTCCAGGGAAGAGAGGCTGTCCAGTTAACAGTTCTGCGAGGATGCAGCCAAAACTCCATATGTCAATGGGCGTGCTGTAGCGGCTTCCTAAGATGACCTCCGGAGCCCTGTAGAACCGAGACTGGATGTAGGTGTACAGTTTCTGGTACTCAAAGCAGCTGGACCCAAAGTCAATAAGCTTGGTTGCACTGCGCCCATGGTGTTTCAAGAGGATGTTTTCTGGCTTCAGGTCACAATGAATAATCTTATTTTTGTGGAGTGCATCCAGGGACTGCAGGATGGACTGGGCAAACTTGCGCACTAACTGGACACTGAAACCTTGAAACTTGTTTTTTCTTAATAGCTCATAAAGGTCTATGCTCAACAGTTCAAAGGCGATGCACACGTGGTTCCGGAAGGTGAAGCTCTCCAGCATGTGGATGATGTTCATGCTCCCGGTTTTGTCCTGTTTTTTAAGATGCTCCAGAATCCGGATCTCCTCGGCGGCCTGACGGTGGAAGCGTTTCTCATTGCGCACCATCTTTAGGGCCACGTACTGGCGCAGTTTGTGATCGTAGACCCGGGCCACTTGCCCAAAACTTCCCTTGCCAATAATTTTCAGCACCTCATATCGATAAGCGAGGTGGTCTCGTGGCACGTGAATATAGGCTCCGTCTGCGTCGTCATAACCCCCATTATTGGGACCACCAACAACTCCATTTCTTTTTTTGGCATTTGGACCCACAAAGTAAATTTCTGGATAATTGACGATTTCCTGCTTCTCATAAGCAGTGAGGTGGTGTCTGTACTGCTTCAGGGCTTGCTCTGGGCTCAGGGGCACCACGCGGGGTGCTTTGGACGAGCTGCTGGACTTCACTGAGTTCAAACCTTCAGAACTTTTGCCCTGAGTTGCGGTAGGAGAGCACTTTTCTGAGCCAGTGATGCCAGCTGACTGAAGAGCATTGGATCTTCTGTTGCCAAGTTCTTGAAAGAGTTGCTCTACCTTCATCTCACCTCCATTCAGAAGGTGCTGCGTATGGTCTCTTGTCAACTGCTCGGTGGTAATCTATGGAAGAGAAAAAGGAAGATGATATCAAAGCCGCTAAACAAACACATCCAGACATATTTACTGTAACAGTGCAATGATCCAAAAGGGAGAAGAGAAAAGCAAGTCTCTCCAGCCTTATGTCACATAACCAGCAGACTCCCTGATTATTTTGGCAACCCTAACACTGTATACAGCTCTTCCTTGTTGTTGTTGTGTACCACTGAGTCACAACTGACTCCTAGCTGATTGTCCAGTGGGGTTTCAGAGGCAATAAATAGCATGAGAGGAGATTGCTCATCTTTTGCTCACTGGTGGGTTTGAACTATGCGTCTTTTGGTTGGCAGCCCAACTCCTTACCCCTTAGCTACCAGAGCTCCCTCCTGCTTTGTTAAGGATCCCATAATGTCTTTTTTTTTTTAACCGGTATGTTTTTGCAATGGGAATCCTATACTCCTTCAAAGTCCAATCAGAACCTCTCTCTTCCACTGAGGACTATTCCAAGCCTGTATGAACAACCTCACATCTTAAAAACTAGAGTTTTTAAGAGTTTGGCTCACACAGCTTTACATTTGATTACATGCTATCTTATACAACTTACTGACTGTATCGTCCCAAATCTTAAGGGCAAAAAACATAGTATTTCTCATTGAAATAATGCATATCCAAGTGTTCTGCAAAGTATCAAGTACAATTAGGAGCAGAGACAGAGTGTGAACTCCAATTTGCTGACTCCCAGTCCAGGCTCCTTCCTTTATTTAACAGAGCTCAGTACCCAGTGCCTGTCCTTCTCAGGTTCCCATATAAACTGTTGCAGACTTTTAGTTTGATTCTGAGTCAGAGGAAACTCTTGAGTTCATGTAGGCCAATTCTTCACATATCTGCTGAACAAATAGAAACTGGGTGAGGGAGGGTGACCTGTGCTAAGTCACGGAAGGAAGCAGTGAAGAGCAGGAGTGAGAGAATTCCAGGCCCCTGGGAGAGAAAGAGAGAGGGAGAGGGAAAGGTGGAAGGGGAGGGAGGGGGAGAAAGAGAGGGAGAGGGAAGGAAAAAGAGAGGGAGGGAGGGAGGGGGGGAGCATAGGTGGGGGAGAGTGTGTGCGTGTGCTTGTGCGTTTCTTCAGTCATTTTTACATACACACACTCTCTCTCCCTCTCCCTCTCTCTCTGTCCCTCTTTCTCTCCCTCTCCCTCTCTCTCTTACTCAGTAAACTCCTTCATATTCAAATAAGAGTCTTTAATATAATGTGTGAGAAAAAACTAGTTCAACACTTAAAAAGAATATGGACTACTTCAAAGACTCTCTTTCTTCCTGGGTCTAGGAGCATGGTACCCAGGGTGAGCTTATGGATTTCACACGGCTAAATCATTCCAGAGGCTCACAGAGCTACAGGTATCATCTCTAAGAGTGTGATGCAAATCAAAAGCTAATGCTCCAAAGCAACCAACCCTTAAGAAAATACAAGTTTACTCTAAGCTAAGCAAACGATAATACCTGGCCTGTTCGAAAAACTATCTTAAAAGTTGTATGAAAAATGAAAATACAAACAACAGAAAAAAGGGAGAAAAAAAAAGAATTCTATCCATAATATACCGATGAATCAGACAATACAACTGGTACCCTTCTTTGGCATTTGGTTTTAAAATAAAAAAAAAGGACAAGATATAGCCTCTCTGACACTAAAATAGAGAACTATCACTGGCCAACCAAATACATGGACCACCCCTATGAATTCAACTTTCAGCCACATTGTGGGCCTGTACAGTGAGCAACAGCATCTGGGAGGTATTCACTGCTCAGAAAAATCAGCTGTATGATATTCAAAGGGCAGCTCTTGCCCAGAATAAAGCTCAAAACACAATAAAGATAAATGGAAACACTACACACAAGGGGGAAGGGGGAGGAGTGCTGTTACACTTTAAGAACTGCAGTCAGTGTTCTGCAACAAAATGTGTATGAACTCTACAACAGAAAACCAATTTGCCCCAAGTTTTCATTCAAAACACAGTAAAAATGTTGCAGGGGGGGAAAGAAGAGAAAGAGGTCTGTAGAGAGAATAAAAATATCCTGGTTCAATATAAACACAACCAAAACATTTCTTGCAATAATTAGGTCAAATAATGATTCCTGTCTTTAAAGAAAAACTTATTCATGGTTATAAATTCTAAAACGTATATTTTAAATTATTACAAATCTAAAATTTCTCTACTGGAAAATCAACCTGGTTGAATTAGAGAACGAATGAAAGCTACTTTGTTTTAGTTAAATTTATGAACAGAAATAATAAACAATTATATAACAGGAATAAACATTTGCATGCATCTCGGCCAGTTTTCCTCAAAATTTTTACTACCCGATTCTCACACCTGAATGTATTTACTGCGGGACTCTTTGGGGCACATCCTGAAGAAGTACAAAGTCAGAAGGCTTGGGTTGGGGCTTGCCTGTATTACTTATTAAGTGTCAAAGTCGCTGGGCAGGTGTTTTGGTTTTTCCTACTCTGTTTCTTATCTATACAATGTGGATGAGAACATCTACAAACAAGACAGTGGGATTTACAAGATGTATAAAAGACCCCTAGAAATGATAAGACATGTTTTAAAAAACTGGTCATAACCAAGCAAGATTCTCACTATATTAAGACTTAAATTCTGATACCCACTCAGGCTTCTAGCCCCTCATGTACCTTCTGCTCAGTGAAAACCCTCAGTAATAATCCTTCCTAGATACAGTGACCTACATCCCTGGCTCTCCACCACATAAAACCTACTTTGAACTCACTGTACAACTGAGTATGTTACTTCTTCAGGGTTATGTGAACTTTAACAGAAGATTAATCCATTAACCCAAAAGAATGTCCCTAGAAACTTCAGTTCTCAAGGCAAGCTATTAGGAAATATATCTGTGGTGCAGAATGTTTTGTCTCTGGCTATTTTACCTATTCGGTCTACACGTAAGACTCTGGAGTTCATTTCTGTCTGTGTTAGAGAAGGTCTCAGGTATACAGGAATAGATATGCAGCAAAAATTTAATTTCCACAGAACAGTTACTACACTACGATTAAGGGTACCATTTAGGATCATGGTTTTCCCTTCAAGTGATCCTAAATCTCTCTTTTTGTAAAGTAATTCTCACTCCGCTCTCTAGAATTATATGAAGCACCTAAAATTCATGGATGAATCCTTGAGATACCTAAAATGGGCTGCCCTATTCCATGTCCTCACCACTCTTCTCCAAGTTCAACATCTCCACCGCATCCTCACTGCATCAGACCTTACGTTCATGTGTGTTCACATCCTCTTACTCTCCTGCTCACATCTCTTCAAGTGTGGTTCCCAGAAGACAACACCATAAAACTTCTAGTCCACTCTACACTAGGAATTATCAATGCTTGATTCTCCACTGTATCTAGAGAATTCCAGGAAGGAACCTTCTCAAAACAGGAAGGAGTTTTCTTCTTAACTTTCTTTCCTGTAAATAACTCAAACATAGGCCTACATCAACTGTGCACTGGGTTTGTGGTGCTATAAATAAAACCTTCCCTCCATTGTTCTTTGAGTGTCCATAGTGTTGATATATATTAAAATAGTTCTACTGCTGTTGTTTCTCATTAGGGTAAAAAAAAATCACCATCAACATCTTATCACAAACCAAAAATCTCACAACCAATGCATCTGACCAACTCTGCCAAGTATTAGGCTATATATTAACTTTTAGAGGCAGATAAAACATAACCTTCATTTCTTAAGAACTCTTCATTTACACTGCCAATAAAGTTGGTGAGCTCATGGCATTTCAAATAGAATCTACTATTTTAATGAAATCTAAATGATCTTTTTATAAAAAATATTTTGTTGCGACTATACATAGCAAAACAATTCCAAATCAACAATTTCTACAGGGGCAACTCAGTGACATGAATTATATTATCTGAATTGTGCAACCATTTTCATTTTCTTCTTCTGAGCTGATCCCCTCCCATAAATATAAACTCACTGCCCCTTAAGTTTTCTGTCTAATCTGTTGCTGTTGTAAATGAGGGAAGCCGAATATCAAATTTAATAATAGTAGACCAAATGCTGTATCGGGAAATGAGGGAAGCTTAATACAAGCTGAAGGTCACCTTGTGACACTGGGGCATTCCCTAGGAGTCAACATTGTTCTTAGTTTGTATCAAATGAATCCCTCCCTCTTGAGATTAACATAAAGAGGAACTTGGCCTTATCTGTAAAAAAATTCACCATTATCCTTTGTTTTGTACTTTCTTGTGATTTTACTTTTATTATCTTATGATTCTAAATAAATACTCAGAGAAGCATGGCTTGAGGCCTTCAGTCATGGGAACTGTTGGCCCCCTGTTTTTCACACTCTCTGTTCTATATCATTCCTGGTAGTCTGTCTCATTATTAATAATTATAAAATTATTCTATTCTTTGGGACCCTCGGTCTGCAACAGTAAAGATCTCCACGAAAATTTCAGAAAAGCAAATCCTTCTCATCTAGACATGACATCCAACTAACAACTCTCCCAACCTCTGGCATTAAACCCCTGCAACACAAAGGCTTAACCCAGTAAATGCCAATGGACAAGCCAATCTAGTTTACAATGAGAATGTTAAGTGTGTCCTGCACAAACAATGAAACAGAAAGACTGAAAATAGCAATAAGGTCTTGGAAAGGAGTCACAACCTAATGAACTCTTAAGTACCACCAAAACTCAAGATGTTGATTTTTCCAGCAACATTAGCAAAAGGCATGGTTGAAGGTAGGATTTAAAAAAAAAATCTAAGGGCGTTTTGGTGGCCTCGTGGCAAGAAACTGCGCTGCAATCCTAAAGGTGCGCAGTTCAAATCCACCAGATGTTCCACTGAAGAAGGAAAGGCAATCTCCTCCTGTGCCAGTCAGATCTGATTAGACAGTACAAAACAAGGAAAAAAAACAAAAAAAAATCTGCTTCCTCAAAAAAATGGGACTGCATGCAGTAAGAATTAAACTGACTTTAATTCTGAGACACACAATTTAATGGACTTACTGGAAGGTGACTCATATCTGCCAATTTTGAATTAAAGATAAAAAGAATGTTAAGTCAGATGTTAATGTATCAATTGCAAAACGTTTCCCGTAGAAAGCTTCCAACAGGCAGTAAAGAGCCAAGAACTCTGAAGGTCAACCCGGGAGGCATGTGGCTCTGGAGAACTCTGGAGAGGTTTTTATACTAAAGAACTAAAAATGTGAAAGAGGCCCTACTGTGCTCCAGAGAAGAGAGTGAAAATAGGGTGGCCACTCTTCCAAATATTTTTAACCTGTTGTTGTTAGGTACCGTCTAGTTGAGTACAACTCCTAGTGACCCTATAAACAACAGACCTGAATCCTGCCCTACCCTGTGCCCTCTCTGACACACTGAAACCCATTCCTGAAGTCACCATGTCAGCCCAACTCATTGAGGGGTCCTCCTCTCCTTCCCTCACTCTCCATCTTTGCAAGCATGATGCCCTTTTCCAAGGAACAGCCTCACCTATTTACATACTTTGTGATATTAGTTTGAAAGTAGCAAAGACATTTATTTTAATAGCAAAAATAGGCTAAAATATCCAAGTTTAAATTATTTTCATATATACATAAATGTAAGAGAGAAGTATCACAAATGAGCCTTATCCAATGACTATTTTTCTCATTAGATGAGAGATGTGGGCAATTATAAAGTCAGAAGACAGCTTCTCCCTGTCATGGAACTTGGCCAAGCCCTGCTCTTCCCAACCAAACTCTGTATTCTCAGCGAATGTGAACTAACTGCATTATCTGAAGTGAAAGAGTGTCAAAAGCTAAGTATCTGCAGCTCCCACAATGATTCAATGCATCAAAAACCAAACCATGCCATGCACATTTTAATCTATTTAATCTATTAAATGGCTCTCCTCTGCATGTTAATGAGCTTGGACAATACTTCTGTCTCTTAAGAGACACATCTACAGATCAGGGATATTTTTAATTCTGTTTTTGTCAAAAGGAACCTTTGTAGTAACTTGGGTAAATAATTTTTTGGTAAAAATAAGGGGAGTCAAGGATGGTGCAAATGGTTAAGCACGCAAGTACTAGAGGAAAGTCTGGCTGTTCGAATCCACCCAGAGGTGTATCGGAAGGCAAGTCTTGACCCTGGTGGAGCAGTTACACGTCACATGAGTCACCATGAGTCAGAATTAACCTGACAGCAATTATCAATAACACATAAAAATGTAAGATGGCGTTTTTATCCCCCTCGCGCCATATTTTTGTCACAGGGATTGGGAAGGAGGGAGCGCCAAATGAAGATCACTCTGAAAAGCTAAACTTGGACCGCTCAAAAAACCTCTCACTGCCCTCCACTCACAACGACTCTCCATCAGGCTTCAGAGGCTGTGACCTCAACCAGAGGAGCCTACCCCAACTTTCTCATTTGGCTGGTGGATAAAACTGCCAGAGACTCAAAGCCTTTTTAGTCAGGAATCCCATGCGGTATGGACCACACCGAAGTGTAGAAACTGTTATTCCAAAATCAGGAGAAAACAAACAAGAATCCAGGTCGCCAGTGACATGTAACTATATCTTGAGCATTAAACACTACTTTCTTGCCAAGGGAACAACCAGAATGCAGAGAATTGCTTCGTGTACTTACGTCGACTCTCCTGGGCGCAGGTGGTTCAGAAGGATTACAGAGCACATTTGAACATGGTGGGCACTTGGTTTCATCTATCATCATGAAGGTATCATAGACACCATCCCCCAACCTAGTTGAAAGGATTACAGATAAAATGCATCAGGAACCGAAGAGCAGAAATTTGTATTTCCAAAGCATCTCATGTGTTAACTGCTTCTTATCACCTATGAAGAATAATGCAAACATTAACACACTGCCATCAAGTCATAACTGACTTACAGCTGATTTTCCAGTGTGTTTCTATGGCTGTAAATGAAACAGGAGCAGATTGCCTGTCTGCTCCTGGGGAGCAACTGTTGCACCGGAACTGCCAAACAGGCACCCTCTGTGGGTCTGTGGCCTATGGACAAGGCCATCAGAGCTCCCCACACAAATACCAGGAATAGCTATGCTGCACTTTGGTACTGGATACAAACAACTGGATTCCGCAGAGGTATAAAGAAACCCAACATGTGTGTGTTGTAAAGAAAAGACAAAATCTGTAGTTAAAAGTGAGTCTTACATTCTGAAAGCTGTTAAAACTATACACGTTGCTGTCTAGCTGATTTGACTCACAGAGATGCTAGGGGGCAGAGAAGAGGTGCCACACAGCATTTTCCAGAGATACAATCTTTACAGACACAGCCTATGACATTTTTCTCCCATGGAGCAGCAGGTGGCTTCGAACCACCAATCTTTCAGTTGGCAGATAGGTGCTTAACCAGTGAGCGACTAAAGCTCCTTGTTAAACTATACCCACGACTGCCATGGAGCCAACCAGGACTCAAAGTAAGCCTTTAAGACGGGCTAGAACTGTTTCATAACGTTTCCAAGGTGGCAAATCTTTATGGAAGCAGGCAGATACCTCTTTCTCCTACAGGGTGACCGGTGGGTTCCAATTTCAACCTCCTGATCAGCAGTTGGGTGCTTTAACTGCAGCACCACCAAGGCCACCAGTGAATTAAAAACTATAGAGTACAGGAACTATCCAAAGGACCTAATTTAACTCACAACTTGAAAACAAAAGTTAATATGAATCTGAAGCCTTGAAGCTAACCAGAGACTTGGATCCTAAGAGCTGTTCAACTAGTGACTATGCTCACTTCCTCTCTGCTGCCTGTTTCTGCCCACACATTAAAATCGGAAGAACAGTTCCAGCCCACACACTTCTGTCTCTTACAGGCAAGAAAGAAAAGGCCTTTTGAGGTGTATCTTCTATATACTTAAATACTTATTATCTATGTACCTGGGCTGGTAAAACACCCTGAACAGTAAAGCAAATCAATAAGGGTCTCTTTAGACTACAAAATGCACTGAATTTCAGTTCTCTTCCCTCTTTATTTTCTGGTGCACAGTGGAGACAAAAACGTTCAGTGAGTGATTTAAGATCATTTGCTTATTGTTTAATACTGTTCCTTCACCACTGCAACAGAATACAAAAGAGAGAGGATGTACTTAACCTACAAGATGGCACTGAATAAACATACTGCATCTGCACCTAGAATACGGATTGTCCAGCTACACACATCAGCATTTCCTTGTATTCTTTTACATACTACACTCTGAATACAACCGTGACTATGTTGCCAAGGAAAAAAAATTTTTTATGTCTTTTAAAATACACTGGAATATTTCAGTTGCCTTAAAAATGGTCTCCTTATTCTAGAGGTTATCTAGTTGATGTGTTATAGCAATACAAAGAGGGAGGAATTTTTTTAAGCCTACTTAGAGGCTACTTATAGGAATGTTCCCTTTTTAAAACATGCTCTAGTTCTGACGGAATTATTTCTATCTTTAACCAGAACTGCCTCATGTCAAGAACTAAGATTCTGGATAGGACTGACCCTTTGCCAACCTCATGAATGAAACAAAACAAACCGGGACAGGCGCTTAACAAGAGGAAAAATTAGACACCAAGACCTCCATAATTTCCTACTGACTGATGGGTAGGGGGAGGGGCAAGTAATTCACCAAAAGGCTGACTCCATGCAAATAAAATGAGACCGTTTATATAAAACACTACTCTCCAGTTTACATAAACCACAATGCAGGCAGGCTCGGGAGGCATACAAACCCAGAGCCGCTGCTTACCTGCATTTCTGAAATGGACCGCACCCCTCACTGCAAAGCCCAAGAGTTCAGCCTCTGGTTATCTGTTCTGAGCAACAGGGCTTCTTGCACAGGATTGCTCCCTGGCTGCCCCAGTTAGGGCAAAAACACCCACAAAAAGTCCTCGCTTTTCGGATTCTCCTATCTTATACCCTTCCCATAGAGAGCAGAAAAGATAATCCCGGGAGGTGGGAGAGTGTGTAAAGTCTTCCCCTAACTACGATCTATGCCCCCCCCCATTTGAACTGGGTGGGAGAGGGGGGCTCATGAAGAGGAAGGGGGGCGCATTAGGATCGGACCCCTTCCTGCCCTTCCGGGGGGGGGGGTCTCGCTCATCCTCCAGCCCAGGCCTCCCACCCCTCCCTGGGCGTCGCTTGCCAGCCGCAGCCCCACACTCCAGCGCCCCCAGCCCGTTACCTCGCGGCGCCGTTACCTTCGCTGCTGGGGCGGGAGTCCAGCCTCTGGCTGCTCCGCATCCTTCCGCCCAGGCCCACGAGCCGTGCCTCCCATCTGCAAGCTTGAGACCCCACGGGGCCAGAGGTGGCGGTTGGAGCCGCCGATGGGGCGCGTTCACCTGCGGTGGAAGGACTGCGTCCCGGGACACGCCACTTCCCCAGGGATTCACGCACAGACGCTGCAGTTCCGCGCGCCTTCGCGGGAGACTATGGGGCCGGGAAGCGGAGACAGAGCGGCAGGGATGGGAGGGGGTGGGAGCGCGGTCTGGCTACCTAGCAACCTCGGCACACCCCCGGGGAACGCCTCTGCGCAAAGACGTGATGACGGACAGGGGAGGGGCGGGGCCGGGAGACTGGAGACAATCCCTTTGGCTGCCCTGGGTGCTGGGTGCTGGCGGCGCACGCACATGGCTTTGAGAGGAAGGAGGGGCTCCGAAGGGTTGGTGGGGTTTGCAAACGCAGCAGCTTGCGATTTCCACCTCAAAGGGCATCACAGTCTATTTTCCTCTAAGTTGCACTTTGCAGCCGGAGGTGTAAACTAGATCTTCTAATAATATATATCCATTCCAAGGTATATGCAGGACGGAGGTGGCCCTCTGGAAGCTGAATAGTTACGTAAGAAAGCAATAAAAAGAAACCCATTCACTGTACTCGGGTTTGTAAACAAGGTCTTAGGTAATCTCTCCATTATTTGCAGCTCTATCAGGTGACGTCTCTTATTTTACAGATCAGGAAATGAGCTCTGAAGAATTTAACTGTTGTTGTTGTTATGTGCCGTCGAGTCGCTTGCGACTCATAGCGACCCTATGTACAACAGCCCTAAACTCTGCTCTGTCCTGTGCCAGTCGCACTGTCTCTGACATTCCCATCCCGATTATGCCAGTCACTGAATCAATCCACCTCATAGAGGGCCTTCCCCTCCTGCGCTGTCCTTCCACCCTACCAAGCATGATGTCCTTCTGCAAGGACCTGTCTCTCCTCACAACTTGTCCAAAGTATGTTAGACGGAGCCTCAGAATCCTTGCCTCCAAGGAGCCACCCGGTTTTACCCTTTCCAGGACAAATCTGTTTGTTTTCCTAGCAGTCCATGATACCCTCAATACTCTTCTCCAGCACCACAGCTCAAAGGCATCAATTCTCCTTATTAAAAAAAAAAAAAAAAAAAGGCTCCTTCTATCCTCCTTGGTCATCGTCCAACTCTCTTGATGCATAACAAGTGATTGCGAAGACCATGGCCTGTATCAGATGCACCTTAGTCTCCAGAGAGACACCATTGCTCTTCAGTACTTTGGAGAGGTCCCTAACAGCAGACTTTCCCATGGCAATGCGCCTTTTAATTTCCTGGCTGCTGGTGCCAAGACTGTTGACTATGGAGCCAAGCAAACTAAAGCTGTGTACAATCTCAATCTCTTCACCATCCATCCTGATGCTGCCAATTGGTCCAGTGGTGAGAATCTTTGTCTTCTTGACATTGAGCCTCAATCCATATTGTAGGCTGCAGTCCTTGGCCCTCTGCAGCAGGTGCTTCAGGTCCTCTTCAGTTTCAGCAAGCAGGGTTGTGTCATCCGCATAACACAGATTGTTGATAAATCATCCACCAATCTTGACCCCACATTTCTCCTCATAGAGCCCAGTCTCCCGGATAATCTGTTCTGCATATAGGTTGAAAAGGTATGGAGATAGGATGCATCCCTGGTGTACGCCCTTCCCAACTTTGAACCATACAGTGTTCCCTTGCTCTGTTCTGATGACTGCCTCCTGGTCCAAGGATAGGTTTCGCATTGAAACGATCAAGTGTTCTGGGATTCCCATTCTTCTCAGAGTCAGCCTAGACTCCAAAAATTAATCTATTGTTTATCTCTTCCTACAACAGGATGCGACGAATGAAGAGCTTTCGAGGTCCTTTCCCAGCCTCCCCATTTTACTGATAAGGGAAACTGAGGCCCAGAGATGTACTTGCTCACGACCACGTGGAGACACTTGAAGTGGAAGTCTTCAAAAACCCCGCCTTACCAACTATGGATAATGAACATTATCCATTGGAACAGAAGGACTGTTTGAAAGGAATATATGCTTAAGCATCATATGTATGACAATTTGGAACAAGATGTGCATTGCAAAATGGATTGCAGAGGGGGAAGGAAAGGGGAGGAAGAAAATGTGCAACAATGAATGAATTTTTTAAATTTAAACAAAAAACAATTACTCACCTCTGCCTCTCTCCGGCAGAACCAGGGAACAGAATCAGGGGATGGGGAGCTGTTGGAAGTCTCTAGAATCTCCTCATCCTCTTTTTCGAAAAGTTCAAACACTTTGGTAATACCGATATTAAGTGAATTTCGCAAATTTGTGCAAAACTGAGCGGAGAGAAAATTAAAAACAGAAAACCACAAATGTTGGTTTTGTAAGCGAAGCACCCAAGTAGATTTTCCGAGGCCACATAGCTGGCACCATTTGGACCAACCGAATAACGTTTTGGTGGCTTTGGAAAGGAGTTGCGTTGCCAAACCAAAGGCAGGTGGTTCGAGATCACCAGCCACGGAAGAAATTGCCAATCTCCTCCCTCAGAATTTCTGATGACCTGCGGGAAAGTCCCGACTCGGACAAGAAAACTAGTCATTTCACAGTACCGAGCTGGGTCGCCACCTGGTGGTGTTTGGGTGTCTATAATCCCAAATCACTATAGCTGGTGGTGGTGATTGTTATTGTTATGTGCTGTCGGGTCGCCTCTGACTCATAGCGACCCTGTGTACCACAGCCCTGATCCCTGCTGTATCCTGAGCCAAGCTCACCATCTCCAACACACCTACTACAGTCACTAAGTCAGTCCATCTCATTGAAGGTCTTCCCACCTGAGCTGTCCCTTCACCCTCCCAAGCATTATGTCCCTCTCCAAGCACTGGTTCCTCCTTGCAACATGCCCAAAGTATGTCAGATGGAGCCTCAGAATCCTTGCCACTAAGGAGCAGCCTGGTTTCACCATCTCCAGAAAGAACTTGTTTGTTCTCTTTTTAAAAAATTTTTTATTATTATTAATTTTAATGAAAATTTACAAACTTTGGATTTCCATTCATTCATTGTTGCACTTTTCTCCTTGCCCACCCTTCCCCCCAGTACACTTTCTCTTTGAAAACTAAAAGAAATTCTTTCATTGTTTTACAATCACTCCCCCCAGGTCCACTCCACTATGCAGCCTTCGTTTTGGACTCCTGTCATGACAATGATACCCAATTACATAGCCCTTTTAAGGTGTTTTCTCCCTCATCTGTTTCAATGCAGTATACATTGTTTATCCCATCTTTCTCAGTCTCCACTCAACCCCGATGTCTGTCCTGTTTTACAACAGTGGCACCATGCAGCATTTGTCCTTTTGTGACTGAGATATTTCACTCAGCATAATGTCCTCCAGAGTCACCCATTTTGAATAATATTGCATGAGTTCCTTGTTTTTCAATGCAGCATAGTATTCCTTTGTGTGAATATACCATAGCTTCTCTATCCATTCGTTTGTTGATGGGCACTTAGGTTGTTTGCAACTCCTTGCTATTGTGAACAAAGCCACAATAAACATGGGTGTGCATATATCTGCTTGGATGTCAGTTATGGTCTCTTTGGGGTATATTACCAGTAGTGGAATTGCTGGGTCAAATGATATCTCTATTTGCAACTTTTTGAGAAAGTGCCACACCACCTTCCACAGTGGTTGTACCATTTTATACTTCCACCAACAGTGAATAAGGGTTCCAGTTTCTCCACAACCTCGCCAGCTTTTGTTGCTAGTAATCCACAACATAGTCTTCCAAGTTATCGTGAAAAGTCTACAACCAGGAGAAGATAATATAGATGAATGGATAATATAATATAGATAATATAGATATTCTTCTAAGAATCAATTCCTATGCACATCCAAAAACTTCTCCAGCAGGGTAAAAAGGGAAGCCACAGACTGGGAAAAAGTACTTGATAATGACATCTCAGATAAGGGACTTATATCTAGAATTTCTATAATACTTGAGCACCACATGATAAAGGAAAACAATCCAATTGAAAAATGGGCACAGGGTATGAACAGACAGTTCACCAAAGAAGATACTCAGATGGCCAGCAATCACATGAAGAAATGTTCAAAATCCCTAGCTCTAAGAGAGATGCAAATCAAGACAACTATGAGAAACCATCTCCCCCCAGTTAGAAGAGCAAAATTTAACAGAACAGCAAGCAACAAATGCTGTTTGTACTCTTAACAGTCCACTTTTCTCTGGCACTACAGCTCAAAGGCATCAATTCTCCTTCTATCATCCCTAGTCACTGTCAAGCTTTCTGACGCACAGCACATAATTGCGAAGACCATGGCCTGGATCAGGCACACCTTAGTCTCCAGACTGACATTGTTGCTCTGCAGTACTCTGGAAATGTCCCTGACAGCAGACTTTCCCAATGCAATATGTCTTTTAGTTTCCTGGCTGCTGGTACTAAGCATGTTGATTGTGGAGCCAAGCAAACGAAAACTGTTAACAATCTCAAGCTCTTCACCATCTATCATGATGCTGCCAATTGGCCCAGAGTGACCCTTAATACAAACAGTAGAGCGAACCTCTGGACCCTGCGCCATCCTCACAGCCGTTGCTGTGCTTACATCCATTGTTGCAGTCATTATGTCAATCCTTCCTTTGAGGATTTTCCCTCTCCTGAGACTAGGTGCTGCCATAAATCTTAAAATTTCCATCCAAGTTTCCTTTACATGTGACTAAAAGTTACATTCCTTCTTCTTATGCCCCTGACTTAAAAGACACCTAAGCAACCAAGCACGCTTTGGTTTTCTAAAGTAAGAATATGAAGGTTTGGGAAACTTTGTTCCCATGACCAGTGTTGTTATATAGCCTTCCTTTAGGTAAAGCTGTTCAATTTGTAGGCTGAACAAATAATCCTAGAAACTGGACTATATGAAGAATGTAGTATCAGGATTGGAGGAAGACTTATTAACAACCTGTGCTGTGTAGATGACATACCTTTCTTGCAGAAAACAAAGACTTGGAGCACTTACTGAGGAAGCTT